CGGCACTCAGGCCGCTGCCGCCCTGGAGGGGGAGTGGGTGGCAGGCACCCGACGTATCAAACAAAAGCAAGACGGAAATGTTTCACCATTGTCGGCCTCGACGAGCCCCTGGACCGTCACAAAACGACTCAGGACGAGAAGCTGGCCCTGGGGAAAGGGTGGGCGGCAGGAACGCAGGAACAAAGGAAGAGCGGCCCCACCACCACCAGAGCGAGGGGCCCCTCCTTGTGGTGTGACCCCCCCTCCCACGCTCGAGACACCCCCTACTGGCTTGCGGAAGCGTCGTGGACCTCCTCGCTGGAGGTGGCAGGTAGCACCCAATGGTGCTGCTGGTGTCGCTTTTCTCCGAAGCCGGAGGGGTGCTCAATGCGTAGCGCTCAGCTGCCGCCGCCCCGAGGGCGGCGCCATCACAGCGTGCGAGGCACACCAGCCCACGAACGAGGACCCGCTGTCGCACGGTGGGGGAGCGTGGCAATGAGAGACTTGCAGGCTGCTGAGCGTCATGGGGGGAAGGAGAGGGCAATCGTGGACCCTGGCGGTCGCAGCGCTTTTTATAGATTTCCTCGGTCGTCACCGTCTTACTGTGCAAGCTCAGACGCCAGCTCACGACGCCAGCGCGGCCCCAATCGGGGCAGCGCGCCAGCGGCATCGGAGCTAACACGATACATCTGCCTCTCATCGAGCCCCCTCGGGCAGGACGCGGGACTCCCGCTGCAGCGAGAATTAAGGAGGGACGAGGCGGGACTTGGCTGACCCAGACATTTGGCGTCTCGATTTTTCGAGGTACAGGTCCCCGACCTCTCGACCACTTCTCTGGGACCGGTCTTTCATCCCAAGCTGTTTCTTGGCGGTTCCGAGGCCCGGTACGGGCCACGAGAGGTTGAAAACGATGATTATCCCAGTGCGACCCTACCTAGGAGTTGGAGCATTCAGGAAAGCAACAGCTAAGCTAAGCTAAGCTAAGCTAAGATGGGGTAAGCTAAGCTAAGCTAAGCTAAGCTAAGCTAAGCTAAGCTAAGCTAAGCTAAGCGAAGCGAAGCGAAGCTAAGCTAAGCTAAGCTAAGCTAAGCTAAGCTAGGCAAAGCTAAGCTAAGCTAAGCTGAGCTGAGCTAAGCTAAGCTAAGCTAAGGCTAGGCAAAGCTAAGCTAAGCTAAGCTAAGCTAAGCTAAGCTAAGCTAAGCTAAGCTAAGCTAAGCTAAAGCTAAGCGAAGCGAAGCTAAGCTAAGCTTAGCTAAGCTAAGCTGGGTGAACCCAGGGGGCGCAACTGGGGGAACCAGGGGGGCGCAACTGGGGGAACCGCCCGGGGTGGGTTCCATTGCCCGCCCCCTTTAGCACACAAAGTAAGAACCCTTCTAGGCAGAGCCTAGGTAGGGAAAAACCCTCGTCTCGATTTGTCGAGACGCCAGACGTCTGGGGATAATAAGTCATCGGGCCTCCGCTCCGCCGAGGCTGCCAGGGAGCGACGCCGCGCGGCCAGTGAGTCCCCCCAGGAGCGGCCGGGAGGTCCGGGCCCCGCTCCATCCTATACTATGCGGCAAGTGCGCGCGGCGACGGCGTGGGCAATGGTTTCCGACAGCGCGTGGATCGCTCGGATCCTCGAGCAGCCGCGGCCCGAGCGACCGCGGCCGAGACGTCAAGCAACATCGCCACGCTCCGGCCGCGCAGATCGATGGAGGACGAGCCGATTCCGGGCCGCTGGCGGCGATCAGCCCTGCACGCCCGCGGCCCAGCGTCCCAGACATCCGACGTCTGGATCTCTTCAACGCGGCGCCCCCCACGCTCTGCGACCCATTCCCCGCAGGGCCGGCGCTCCGTCCGGAGCAACTGGTCCTTCGACGGTGCAAGGGGCGCGAGGTCCCCCAGAGGCCGAAAGCGACGAAGGCCCGTCGTCCTGGCTTGCTCCCTTGCATCGGATGCCTGGGGTCGCCGCCGTGTCGCACCCACCGTCGGGGACGGGTGGCCCTTCGGGCCCCGAGGGAGGCCTGCGGAGAGCCACTCCTCCTCCTGCCCGTGGCCAGAGGCCTCCCAGACGGGCTCGGAGCAGACGGGGTCCGGGGGTTGCGCGGCAACGTCGACGCATCACCGATGCAACGGCGATGCGTCGGCGACGTCGGCGTAGAGAAAATCGGGCTCCACGTAGAGCCCCATCGCCGATGCGGCGCGATCCTCCGACCCCAGATGCTCGGACCACATCTGAGAGGCGGCAGCGGCGGCGTGAAGTCAGGCCAAGAAGGAGAGGCCGGCGGCCCAGCAGTGCCGCTCCGAGAGGCGATCTCCGCGCTTCGACGTCAACGCTGAGCTTCGTTGAGGGGGCGAATGGCGAAATCCCAGACGTCCGACGCACCGGAGAAAAATCAACACGGAGCTTAGCTGCCTGGATACACAACGCGCAACACGTAGCGTATTGAGACAGAGTTCAACACGTAGACTGAAAACGTAGGTATGACGTGATACGCTCGCCAACACGTGGACCAATACGTGCCGAACCAACACGCAACATGTTAAAACGGACGTTTTTGACACGGCACGTGTTGCGTTTCAAAACGGACGTATCACGGCAACCAAGACGCGGATATTTTTGTTCGCCATCTTCAACCTCCCGGGGGCCGTCGCTGGGCCCCGGGACCGTGAAGAAACGGCTCGGGGCGAAAGGCCGGTGGGGCAAGGGTCGCGGGGCCCATCAGATACCCCGCGTGTATAAAAAATAGGGCATCGGATGTATGGGGGGTGGGCCAAGGTGGACGTGGGGGCGAAAATAGAAGGGAACTGGGTGAGCTGGAGAGGGGTGTAAGAGGCAGGTGGTGTTGGGGGGTAGAGGGGGGGACGGGGACCCCCCCATGCTCATTTACCCTCAACGCCCACCCAACCCCCGTCACCCCATAATGAGGCCCTGCTATCCGCCAGCTGCTAATACTGATCAGTTCAAGCGGAGAGGGAGATGTGATCAGGTAGGCGAACGGCCCATTCCTGAACAACTGAACTACGATGGGGGGATCAGATCGGTTCTGGGCGGCCGGGGGGGCAGTGGTGATCTGGTTGTGATTCATTTCCAGCTCGGGAACGCCCCATCAACGTCACGTCGGTGCCAAGTTCGCTGATGTTCGGAGATCCACCTGGGAGACAGGCCGCCGACATAGCCACAATCTCTTGCCGAGCCACACCAGGCGGTACCAAATCCGCTGCTCGTAGAGATGGCTTAAAACATTGGTTGATTCGTGTCTACATTAGGTAGGGCCTGCTCCCTGAAACTCATGCTAAGCCCAATCAGCCAACTCTCCAACGTAGGCATTTTATATCTTCCGTGGTGGGACCCAAAGTGACGAGGCAAAAGGCGTCCCAAGCCATGCATCTTCACACGTTCCCTGGACTTCTGCTCTGCCAAGGCGCCTCTCTGCGTGGGAGCACGAAGACACGCTGGGTTCCAAGATCGCCAGGGCCCCTGTGCCGCCACGAGGTGGAAGCACAGGAGAGCACCCAGGTGAGCGACAAAAAGAACGGGGTCTTACGCACGACGATATAGCGACCTTGCGCGGTGGCTTTTGCGGGCCGTCAGCGTGGCACACCGCGCGGAGAACAGGGCGCTCACGCGCGACCTTAATCGGGAAGTTTGCGCGCGAATGTCGGCGCGATCGACCCCGTTTCTTCCGTCGTTCTCCTGGGCCCAGGCGCGACCCTAGTTGTAGGCACGGGGGGGGCTAGGACTCCAGCCTCCCCCATTTCGTCACTGTCAATTTCCAAGTGCGCTTCCACGGGGCCCCACCACTACCCCAAGAGGCCCCGAAAAGGCCTGCGCAGGACGGCCCTATGAACCCCAAAACGCCCTCCAGACGAAATAATCCGAGGGTGACTCCGAAGAGCTTGGCTCTTGCGTAAGACACCTCGCGAATGTGTGATCCTGATGCTTGGAACTCTTCAACAACTACACGGACAGAGGGTGGCTCCTCGTGAAACTCAAGCTCTCGCCTGCAGGCGGTACCGGGCTGTGCCAGACCAGCCCAATCCACGCAAGACTAGACCCGACCCGGGACCAGACTGGGTCGCGCTTGACCAGACCAATCCCACGACCTGAAAAGGATCCCCAGACGCTAACCGAAGGAACGCGATACTAGTCCCACTAACACATTAGGGCGAAGGTGATTTAGCAAAATAAGTATTCAGACCTCCTTCTTACCGTTTGGGGGGGAGAGGATTGCTCACCTTTCCGCCTGCCTTCTTCCTGGGTCCGGATGGGCCCGGTCGCGAGGCGCGAGAGCGTCCAGGGCGGTCCCACCACGCCTCCAGCTCAGGGTCGTTCAGTGTTCTTGTAAGTACCTAGCTATGTGGTGCAACGCTCCTAAAATACGCACAATGTTCTTCTGAGTCGATCGCAAGATGCCCCTCATGTTAACCAACGTGGACCCCGAACAGCAGGACCTCGCAGACTACGCGGTGCAACCCTTGTGGTTCAATGTGTGCGACGCACCCTACGCATGGCAACCTACGTTATGCAACCGTCTCAGGACCGGCGTCGGCGCGTGCGATGCGTATTTCTTTCTGACGGGGGGCGGCGACGGGAGGCGCTGGTTCTTTGACGCAGCGCAGCAACACGCACCATCTTGCAGCTCACGCTCGTGCAACGCTCCGTCTGCTCTCTGGGCTCGGGCTGGCGACGCAAGGCTCTGGAACGCATCGGCATGTAACGCTGCAGTGATCACGGCTCCTGCGCATCCCTCGCTCGACCCGCTTTTGCGAGCGCGCGCCAGAACAGATATCGCGGTATCTTGTTCGAGCATGTGAGTATTGGGGCGCGCATCTCTGCCCGCCGCTTGTAGTTGCGTCGGTCGCATAAGCCAGCTTGCTCCAAAATTGCACAATGATGGACGATAAGAAAGGCCCCGATGGCAACACAACGCAAATTCATTGAATGCGTCACATTTGTGCAAGTAGTCGTCCCTGATTTCCTCCAGTGCGAACGCGTGCCCAAGATTGCTCACGGCAGAGCTTCATCCAGCCTGCAAGTTTTAAGAATTCGCCTTGACCACTTGCGCTGCATCCTGTAACGTCGTAGGCACGCGCGCACCTTCCAATGCTGGCTGTACAACTGTGCGGTCCAAGACTGCGTGCTCGGTAGCAACGTCGTCTGTAGATTCGTGCTGCTGCGCAACAGAACCCAAGTCTGCCTGAGCTGTAGCAGTGAGCGTCGGGGCCAAGGCCGCGTGCTCTGCAGCAGCGTGGTGTGTAGTTTGGTGTTCTTGCGCAACAGTATCCATGTCGGCATGCTCTGTAGCCAGGGGCGCCAACCGTGTAGGGAAGCGGCTCCGAGACATTATATGAAATCTCTAACTGTTGAGCGTGCTGCGAGCCAACGCGGCTACGGAAAATGACTCGTGCGGAGCGCGAATAAACAATGTATTGCACAGACTGAAGGCGCAGCAGCCAACATACTCATCGACGTGGTGCGAGCTATGTGGTGCGAGCGATTTGGTGACGGATGGGGAGGTGAAGGAAACGAAAGCGGAGGAGGAAGAGGACAAGGAGGAAGAGAAGGAACATAAAGAGACATATAATGAGAAGGAGAATGAGCTAGCGTACTCAGAATATGTGGTATGGGCTTTGCGGTGTAGGGAATGTGGTGTGCGTATGTCATACATGCATGGCTGTAAGTGTATGTGTATGTATGTGTGTAAATGTATGTGTACGTATGTCTGTGTCTAGGCATGCATGCGAGCCACACGCATGCATGTCTAGACACGTACATATGACACACACACACGGTGTGTGTGTGTCAGATGTACGTATGTGCGAACGCATGCGTGTATTTATGTACGTATGCATGCGTGCATGTGTGGTTGCATGTACCTATGTATGTATGCATGCCTGTTCGATTGTATGTAAATGTGTATGCACGTGCTCAAATAAGCATGTGTGCATGTATGTAACAATAAATGTTAGGTCGTCTGCTACATTATCTCATCAACTTAAAGAAATCATGCAAATAAACATATAGAGTAAAGGTATAGAAATCAACGTGTCAGGAAACATGAAGGGAAGAAACGTAAAGCAAAATTGCGTAACTTAAGGCAAAGCAGGGTAAAGCATTGTAAAGTAAATTGAGGTACTAAGAATAATGTGATGTCACATAAAAACCAGGTCAAGTCAAGTTAAGTAAAGTTAAGTATAGCCAAGCAAGGGACAGTAAAGGAAATGAGCGAAAAAGAAAGGAAAGCATTGTAAAGTAAAGCACATAAGTAAAGCAAAGCACAGTAAAGCAAAACAAAGTGAAGCAACGCAAAATAAAGCAAAACACACGGCGGCGACGGGCGGCACGGGCGGCGACTGGCGGGATTCGCGGCGACGGGCGGCGACGGGCGGCACCGGCGGCAATCACCCCGACGGGCGGCGACGGCGACGGGCGGCAACGGGCGGCGACGGGCTGCAATCACCCCGACATCGTTGACGCAAGAAAAAGCCCCTAAGTGCAAGCACCTGTTTGGGAAACTATATCAAACATGTGCACGTGCTTCTAAATACTTATCAGACTTAGCCAGTTGAGAACCCAGCCAAGCACTTAGCCAATTCTTGTAAGTAAATAGCTCGCCGTGTTAAGTACGTAGCATGTCTCTTGCAAGTGAAAAGTGCACATCGACGTATCTTCGAAGTTCCGATAATTAATATGCTGTTTAGTCCTTAGCTCGATAAGCTAAGTATGTTAGCACCGTGGTGACAGGATGATGTAGAATGCGTTGCAAGAAAATATGCCAACCAAAAACAATAGCCTGACGACAGCCCCAGGAAAATGGGGTTGTGAATGCCGCCGTTGTGAGAACCGCCTTCTGTGGAGCTCCGCAAAGGGGCCACGACACCTGTGAAGGGAGCGCCGAAATTGGGCGGGCCCCCATGCGCTGCCGCTGGGGCCGCCCGCAGGGGGCGTGGAGGTCAGACGAAACGGGTCACATGCTGATGTAACGAATTGTGGCTGACAGGCACCGGGGGACGCGGGAAAAAAACATGCGGGCGCAGCCACTGGGGCCTTAGGTGGAGCTCCCTATTGAGCCGAGAAGCGCGTAAGGGGTGTGCCAAAGTAGGGGGGGCGGCACGCGAACGCAGCCACTGGGGCCTTAGGTGGAGCTCCTTATGGGGTCGCGAAGCGTGTGAGGGATGTGCCAAAGTAGGCGGGGCGGTGAGGCTCTCTCTCTTCAAAACGAGGACCCGGCTCAGAACTGGATGGTTGGGAATCAATCAGGACTGTAGACTGGGCGCCTTTCTGTTTTGTTTTGTTTGTGACACTTTGGGGCTGCGCAGTGTGCCACGTTTGAAGAGTGTGGCAAAGTGGAGGGGGGGCGGCATCCGAACGCAGCCACCGGGGCCTTCGGTGGAGCTCCCTATGGGGCCACGAAACATGTGAGCGATGGGCCAAAGTGGAGGGGGTGGCGGCATCCGAACGCAGCCACCCGGGCCTTCGGTGGAGCTCCGTATGGGGCCACGAAACGTGTGAAGGGTGGGCCAAAGTGGAGGGGGTGGTGGCATGCGAACGAAGCCACCGGGGCCTTCGGTGGAGCTCCGTGTGGGGCCACGAAACATGTGAGGGGATGAACCAAAGTGGAGGGGGTGGCGGCATCCGAACGCAGCCACTGGGGCCTTCGGTGGAGTTACCTATGGGGAAACGAAACGTATGAGGGATGTGCCACAGTGATGGGGGTGGCGGCATGCGAACGCAGCCAATGGGGCCTTCGGTGGAGCTCCTTATGGGGCCACGAAGCGTGTGGGGCCTTAGGTGGAGCTCCCTCTGAGGCCACGAAGCGTGTGAGGAATGTGCTAAAGTGGAGGGGGTGGTGGCATCCGAACGCAGCCACCAGGGCCTTCGGTGGAGCTCCGTATGGGGCCACGGATCGTGCGAAGCGTGTGCCAAAGTGAGGGGTGTGGCGGCATGCGAACGCAGCCACTGGCGCCTTCGGTGGAGCTCCGTGTGGGGCCACGAATCGTGTGAGGGATGTACCATGGTAGAGAGGGGTGGCGGCATCCGAACGCAGCCACTGGCGCCTTCGCTGGAGCGCCATGAAACGTGAGGGGTGTGCCAATGTGAGGTGGCGGCGGCATGCGAACACAATCACTGGGGCTTTCGGTGGAGCTCCCTATGGGGGCACGAAACGTGTAAGGGATGTGCTGAACTGACTGGGGGGGGCGACATGCGGACGCAGCCACTGGCGCCTTCGGTGGAGCTCCGTATGGGGCCACGAAGTGTGTGTGAGGGGTGTGCCGAATTGAGGGGGGTGACGGCATGCGAACGCAGTTACCAGGGCCTTCGGTGGAGCTCCGTATGGGGCCACGAAACGTGTGAGAGATGGGCCAAAGTGAGGGCGGTGGCGGCATGCGAATGCAGCCACTGGGGCCTTCCGTCTATGGGGCCACGCACCTTGTGAAGGGTGTGCCAAAGCAGAGACATGCGGATAGCAGGGGCAAGGATGGGAGGAGGGAGGAGCGGGGAAGGAGAGGAGTGACTCGGGGCGCTGTCTCTTCAAAACCAAGGCCCAACTCAACACATGAAGATGGGGAATCAATGAGGACTGTAGAGTGGGCGCGGCTGGTTTGGTGTGTGACAATTAGGGGCTGCGCAGTGTGCCACGCTTGAGCTGCGGACAATTGCCAAACACAAAGAAAGACTAATTCGGCATGATATAGGTCAACCGTGTACGTGTTAACGCAACTTGTTGGAGGGAAGCGTGATGTACGAAGCTGATAGCATTTAGAACGTAGTTGTGTCCCATTCCCTGCTGATGGTGATTATGACGGTGCGAAGGAGGAGGCATGAGAGGTACAACAAACGGGAAGATGCCAACCGAATTGCAGCACTATCGCATTGCAGCTTGATGTCTGTGTCGGCCCCAACTCATATTTCCAAGGGTTCGCACCTCGTGCCTTCAAGAATGATGGAGGGTCGCCCCGCCGCAAGCTCCCCAATTTGAAATGGGGGCGCTTCGTCGACAATGCTGGTGCGGCGGACAGGTGGGAAGGGGTATGATGGGACGCGTGGTGAATGATGCGGATGAGTTGTGGTTCTGAAAGCGGTTGCGGAGGAGATATAATACGCAGTGCTATAGCACTTCGTACTATAGCTCGATGCACCACCACTGCGTACATGGATGCATGCATGCGCTGCGAATTATAGCTGGCACGTCGTAAGCCGCGGCTGCAGTCTGGCTTATGATTTGAAACAAGCGGCGCTGCAACGCTGATAATGTCATGTTGCTGCTATGGGCATACGCGTAGCCGATTCGGGCTTCTGTCCTGGCCAACGTCGCCCTGGCAGCGCCGCGCGCCATCCGCGCCCGCGCCGCTTGCCCTGTCGAACCGTCGCGGAGCTCAGCGCGAGATACGAGATGGACAGCCCGCGCAGCGAGCACGAGCCCACGATCCCACGGAGAGAGTGACTGCAACCATGGAGAACACCAATGATGATGGCAAGCTCGTCCAAGGGTGGGGAGCCATATCGGTGGTTATCGTGAATCACGGCTGGGCATGTCACTGGCACCTCATTTCTGATTTTATCGCCACGCACCCGCGCGACTGGTCGGGCGACGGTGCGATGCCCGACGAAGCGCACAAGGTCGGGCTGAAGGTCGCGTCGCTTGGGCATTCGAAGAAGCACGCCAGCGACGCCACTTGCGTCGAGGCGCCCATGGGCACGACGCAGAAGAACCAGCATAGCATTTCGAATTTGCAAATCGCAGTGCAAGTTTGTCGAACGTGCTGTGTCCCGCATGGACGACGCCGCCCAAGTTCCACAGCCTCGGAGGCAGCAGCGCGAACGCGCGCTGGCGCGCCGCGGCCCGCAAGGCGCCGACGCCCCACGCGAAGCAAAGGGATGATCGAGGCAAGATCAACCAGGTCAGACTGATGAGTGGCCCCGCCACCAAGACCGCGTGTGAACCGAGCGCTGCGCTCGCGCGTTCCCAGCGCTGCTCGAGTTCATCCAGAACGCGACTCCGAGGCGAAGGGCCCGCAGACTGAGATTGAGATCATCCGTTCGGGCTGCCGCAACGCCCATGCATGCGGTATAACGAATACAACTGCACGCGTTATGCTGCAATTCTAGAGGTATGTGTCACATGCGACTGTTGTATGACAACGTTCGTTGTCGCGACCCACGCGCATTGTCGCGCTGTTGCGCGCTGGTGCGCCTGAGCCACGGCGCGTGGGATTGCCCGCTGTCGACGGGCCAGCGTTTGTTGGCAATATACATCAAGGCAAGTGTTTGGAGTCGGAGCCTAGAGACGGCGAGTTGACCTACAACCTCAGCAAGGTCGCGAAAGCTTTCGCCGCGCCCACC